TGTCAGTGTCGGGACGCTGGCTGTTTTTCCCATGTCAGTGTCGGCAGCAGAAAAAGGCTGCCCAATAAGAAAATAGAGGGACTTGAAGCTGTTGTTGCTAAGATAATTTTTAATGGAAAAAATCCTTCAAACGGTCCCTATTAAATGAAGAAATATAAATATCGGGGAGCTTAAGAGGGCGAATACCGATGCCATTGCCATGCCCAGGAACTGTGACGCATAACGACATCAGTTATGAAGGAGAATGTTAAAGAAAAAATCATTTATGTAAAGTTATCTTAAAGCTTTGAATGGTTGATATAAGTTCTAAGTTAATGATGAATAAATTGTATCACGCTATAATATTAATCGTTGGAGTACGTAGTTAGTTAATCGAGGAATAAATGATTAATTATAGAAGTTAAGTATACCATAATCGAAATACTTGCAGTTAAATACAATTTCAAAATGCTAGAATTATCTTTCTATGAACTCGAATATGGTTATATTCCTAGCAGTCCATCAGCGTGAGATCTCATGCCAGTCACATAAAGGTCTAGGCTATAGTTGCTCACATCACCTACACGATCACTCTAGTGCACTGTAGCGAGACATCAACCTGTCTCTCTGTCGGTGGTGATGGTGGTGTGGTGGTGGTGTGGTGGTAGTGGTGGTGGTGGTGNCTGTCTCTTATACACATCTAGATGTGTATAAGAGACAGCCACACCACCACACCACCACACCACCACCACCACCACACCACCACACCACCACCACACCACCACCACCACCACCACCACCACCCCAGCTTAACACCGCTTGTTAGCGCTGCTCTAAGTTAGCCGCGACCTGTCAATTATCCCCAGGTTCTCTCCTATAATAAGCACAAGCCTGAGCTTCCTCATGAATAAAAAATATATAGAGATAAAATAAATAGTTGAGGATCATTCCTCGCTAGACGCTGCGGTGGATCTTACGGTCATCGTATCTCGCAATTACGAGCAGCTCGTCGTGAGAGTTTGTTGTTTGTGGCCAATAATATGCGACATTTTCTGGGTTCGAGTGAGATATGGTATGTTCATATGTTAATATGGTATATTATGATCATATATTACAAAGATATATAGGCATACTAGTGACACATTTGTGCCTACTAGTGAAATATGTGTGCCCCTAGTGAAATATGTGTACCCCTAGTGAAATATGTGTGCCCCTAGTGAAATATGTGTGCCCCTAGTGAAATATGTGTACCCCTAGTGAAATATGTGTACCCCTAGTGAAATATGTGTGCCCCCTAGTGAAATATGTGTGCCAACTAGTGAAATATGTGTGCCCCCTAGTGAAATATGTGTGCCCTAAGTGAAATATGTGTGCCAACTAGTGAAATATGTGTGCCCCCTAGTGAAATATGTGTGCCCCTAGTGAAATATGTGTGCCCCCTAGTGAAATATGTGTGCCCCCTAGTGAAATATGTATGCCCACTAGTGAAATATGTGTGCCCCCTAGTGAAATATGTGTGCTCCTAGTGAAATATGTGTGCTCTAGTGAAATATGTGTACCCCTAGTGGAATATGCGTGCCCCCTACCTAGTGAAATATGATTATGTGAAAGCTCGCTGGAAAATACATTTGCTGCCAGAAAAGTTCCGAAGGTTGTATATGCGAGGATCAAAATTCACAGTTTATTTTATGTTCTTCGAATCAATTTTTTTAAGTCACCAACTCGGTTCCAGGTGCGGCGAGACTGCAGAGATAATTAAATACTGGGAGACAAGTCCGTAGACTAGTACACAATTTCCGTTAGGAACACGCGAACAATGCAATTTAATAATTCGACCACATCGTAAAAAAACTAGAACTATGATACTGTGATAATTTACCCTGCAATTATAATAGTTAATAATGTGACTGAATATGACCAAACTCAACCGCATGGTGAACATAATATAATTACTTGGATCATGAAGGGATCGTTTTTAATCGAATATCATCTCAAATCTGCTTCCCGACTTTCCAATTATCATGTCTTTCTTTAATTAAATTTCATTTTAGATTTTTTCAACATTGAATCCGAAATCTTCTATTATCATTACTCTACTTAAATCGTACGAATATAAAAGCAAATCGTACGATGCTCGCATTTTTCAACTTAAACTTTGTCTTTAAAATGCGTACAGCTCGTTTCCTTTTTTTAATAATTGTAAATCAATTGGTTTTGATGTTTCGTTTGTCATTGTCTCTTTACTTAGGTTTTAATCTCTTTCGTGTAGATTTTCGATTTCGACATTTGATTGTATTTGTATTCTATGGAATTTTTTGAACTGATGATGGAGCTTCTCACCGTATTGCTTTCTTTGAAGATAATATGAATTTGTTATGCAGTTTGCTTGACGTTGATATTCTTGGCAGTTTTTTATAATTTCGTAGGTATTTATTAATTTTTAATTAAAATATTGTTCATTTAGACGGCATTGATATGGAAGAAAATTTTTGAGCGTTCTGATCATATAAACAATAAATAATTTAAATTTAATTAGCTGCACATTCGTCATCTCACACCACCGGCATGTTCCTCCACCTAATCTCGTACCTACAGTTCTGCGTTGCTTTAAGGACAGGAAATTTGTAGCCCACATCTTATCTAGCCGTTGTAATTTATTTAAAATATTTATCTTCCCATCTCTGTTTTGTGGTAGTGCTGAAAAAATAATAAAGCTTCATATCTATTGTCATTATCTTGATACGAAATAAGCATGAGGATTCCTATTTAATAATTATTATAATTTTAATTTTATCTTTTATTTTAATAATTATAATTTTAACCCGATCTAAAATAGTCGCGTAACAGCGCTTCCAACGGAAATTATTTTTCTCACTTCTCACCTGTAATTTGATACAAACAATCGTAAGGCTTGTTGATTATTTGTTGTCGATTATTGTTGATTAATTTGGTTTAACTAAAGAAATATTATCAGCACAAGATAAATAATCATTTATCAAATCAAATAATCGTTCGTCTTTCATTTAGTATTTAGAACTCATAATAAAAAATCGTTGTAATTTACAATAACCCTGCAGGTGCTCCGTCTCTCTGCTCAATCACCCCGTAATTATAGTTTACAATAACCGTGCAGGTGCTAGTCTCGCTGCTCAATCACCCCGTAATTATAGTTTACAATAACCCTGCAGGTGCTAGTCTCGCTGCTCAATCATCCCGTAATTATAGTTTACAATAACCGTGCAGGTGCTAGTCTCGCTGCTCAATCATCCCGTAATTATAGTTTACAATAACCCTGCAGGTGCTAGTCTCTGCTCAATCATCCCGTAATTGTAGTTTACAATAACCCTGCCGGTGCGACCGCAACAAACGGCTCTGCACATGCCAGCAATAGGCCTATACTCGAGGCAATATGCCTATACTCGAGGCAGCGCCGCCGCTAATCATAGGCCTAAGAGGAGGGGGCGCAGGCCATTAGGGAATCTATCGCAAAGTTGTGGGTGTTATGCCGGTGTTCAGGACGCTTCCATTGAGTAATATGGCCTAAGTTCTAAGCCTTCTCCTCGAACCTAGGCCCATCAGACCAGCCCGCGCGCACAAACTTCCATAGGCCTTCACTTGTACACACTTCGATGACCGCGCTGGTCTGTTGTTTTATCATTCAGTCTAGCAATAATGAGTTCATTTTGTGAAATTAATCTTCCGGTTACTGATAATGAGAACTGATTCAAGGATATTATCAGGTCATGATGACTCACCTAAGAAAGTTTATTGCTTGTCTAATTTTACTTAACTGGAAACTTCCATTCCTCAATTTACTTAAATTCTACATCAAGATTTCTTGCCACGACAATTTTTTAGTCAGATACTGACTTTCATGCCACAACAACCTTCCAGTCTACTACAGGCTTTCATGCTGCAACAATCTTCCAGTCTACTACAGACTTTCATGCTACAACAATCTTCCAGTCTACTACAGACTTTCATGCTACAACAATCTTCCAGTCTACTACAGTCATTCTCATTCATACTACAACAATCTTCCACTCTACTACAGACTTTCATGCTGCAACAATCTTCCAGTCTACTACAGTCATTCATACTACAACAATCTTCCACTCTACTACAGACTTTCATGCTGCAACAATCTTCCAGTCTACTACAGGCTTTCATGCTGCAACAATCTTCCAGTCTACTACAGTCATTCATACTACAACAATCTTCCACTCTACTACAGACTTTCATGCTGCAACAATCTTCCAGTCTACTACAGGCTTTCATGCTGCAACAATCTTCCAGTCTACTACAGGCTTTCATACTACAACAATCTTCCAGTCTACTACAGGCTTTCATACTACAACAATCTTCCAGTCTTCCACTTCCACGCACCGACTTATATGCCATAATTCACTTTTATGCCATGACTCTCTTTTATGCCATGACTCACTTTCTTACATCACATTTTACCGCTGTACGAGTAAGTGCACGGCCAGTGAACCACGCGCTGCTTCATCGTCTAACTCTCTCGTCAGCTCACACGTCTATAACCACTATACAGTGCTTCTTTCAAGCATAAGCAAGAAATAAATTTAATCTTTAATTGATGTCGATCATTAATTTCCTTATCTAGCCAGAGGTTCTCAAGTACCAACATAAGTAAATGTACTTCTGTTCAGTAATTACATAAATGTATTATTTTGTGGCTGTTCCACAACAATTGGGACCATACGAAGCAAACGTGGGTGAAACAGTGGATCACAAATAATGGATCAAATAAACACTGTCTTCTCCGCCATTTTAATCGGTCGGAAAAATTAAGAAGACGATTATTATAAATTTAATAAATTATCTTTCACGTTCCCTGCTCCTTTTCTCTTCTTGTTATAAACCTATCCCCCACAGGAGTGAATGGTGAAGAGCCTTAACCCCATACCCCACACCCCCACACCCCCCAGCCTATATATATACAGGCCTGCCATCGCTCAGGAGGATCCGCGATTTATGTGGTGGACGCCGCGTGCGGACTAACTACCTTCGAGGCACTCAACGTCCGGGTTTTTCTTAAACGCTTGTCCGGGCTGTAGGAAACTGCGCTGTGGGGCGGTGGGCTGTAGGGCGCTGGGCTGTAGGGCGGTGGGCTGTAGGGTGCTGGGCTGTAGGGCGGTGGGCTGTAGGGCGGTGGGTTGTAAGGCGGTGGGTTGTAGGGAACTGAGCTGTAGGGCGCTGGGCTGTATGGAACTGAGCTGTAGGGCGGTGGGATGTAGGGCGCTGGGCTGTAGGGCGGTGGGCTGTAGGACGGTGGGTTGTAAGGCGGTGGGTTGTAGGGCGCTGAGCTGTAGGGAACTGAGCTGTAGGGCGGTGGGCTGTAGGGCGCTGGGTTTAGGGTTGCGTCGAGCGAGGATATAGCGCGACAGGTTAGGATGACGCAACGGTTGAATATTCTCCAGTTCTTAGTTCAAGTATTTAGAGAAATTGTATCTTATGATACGATATAATAGTAAAGAAGTTTCTACATTTTTGATTCATAAAGAGCACAACTCGCGTGTAATTATTCGAAGCAATAATAAAAACTGATATAATTCAATGAATTTGTGGTAATTTTTTAGGGAATAGTTCTTTGGCTCAATCTTTGGCACGATCGTTAGATATATAGATTCTAATTCACTCGATATGACATGTAAAATCCCCGACAGCTGCAGCGTCGTTGTAAAGTAGTAACATTTTTACTGCAGTCCGACACAGAGCGGCGGAGGCTAGCCCGTATGACCAAATGTTTAACAAGGAAAAATCTTATTAAATCTTCGGAACATGGCCGCCCGCAATCGCTGCCTCGATGATAAGGGGGGCGGCATTTGTCGGCTCGATAAAAAATATAACTCAGTACTCACTGCAGTGAGTGACAGAGAGCGCATTTTCTCTTTGACGAAAACGTGAAGTCACGGACAGACGGACGGACGGACGGACAGATAGACGGACAAACAGACTGACAGACAGACAGACGGACGGACGGACAGACAGACAGACGGGCAGTCAGACAGACGAACGGACGAAAAGACAGACGAACGGACAAGGCGCCTTTTTTCCATAAATGAGAAAATGCGATAAAAATTGTAATATGAGGAGGGTGGGTGATTGGCAGCGTGTGTAGTGAGGGTGATTAGCAGCGTGTGTAGTGAGGGTGATTAGCAGCGTGTGTAGTGAGGGTGATTAGCAGCGTGTGTAGTGAGGGTGATTGGCAGCGTGTGTAGTGAAGGTGATTGGCAGCGTGTGTAGTGAGGGTGATTGGCAGCGTGTGTAGTGGTAGTGATTGGCAGCGTGTGTAGTGAGGGTGATTGGCAGTGTGTGTAGTGAGGGTGATTGGCAGCGTGTGTAGTGAAGGGTGATTGGCAGCGTGGGTAGTGAGGGTGATTGGCAGGGTGTGTAGTGGTAGTGATTGGCAGCGTGTGTAGGCGGGGTGATTGGCAGTGGGGGTGATGTTTATACGGTGGTGTTTCAATCCCCTCTTTCCCTCATGCAAATGCTAAAATACCCTCATCACAAGCAGTGCCGAAACTCGATGTAGATTGCGAAATAGAAAACTTTCGGTTTCATTTCGCAAGCCCAGACCGGCGGGGACAGCGGATGCTAGAAAGGCGACCGGATTTTAATTCCTTATTCTCTGAACATCAGGTCGCTTTGATTAGAAAGCCACAATTGAAACTTCCATATAAAAGTTTAACTGCTGATGACCAGATTACCTGAGCCGGTCGATCAGAGCTGACGGTACAGCAGGATTGTCCCAGTAAATAGGACGCTGGTCGTGACAACCTGTTGTAGCCAGCGGAAAACCACAAAAACGACCTGATGTCGGTAATGTTAATTTTTTGGAAAGGTAGAATAGAACTAGCCAATAGAACTAGTGCAACAATTAATCCAGTAGCTGTTCAGCCAGAGATTGCCACTGTCGCTCGAGGATCGGTGTCGCTTACATCACCAAAATGCCACTGGCATGACGATGGCCTACTTTGAAGAGCTTTTCCTACAAGGAAAGCGCCACAGGATCGACGTATTTAGAGAAATAGTGTACGCTGATGGTATTTATGTTCTGGTGACACTAACGCAAACCCCTAATAACCCTAACAAAATTTAAAGTATGCTTCACACTCTGCGACAGACTCGCTATAGTTTGGTTAAGGTTATTCTGGGTCCGCTTGGCCACTCGACCGCAATCAGCGACTAGTATGAGTCGCCTTGCCTACTTTATAGTCTCCTGAGAGTATGGCAAGTGTGGGCTTGGCCAAACCTACCCAGCCCATAAACTGCCCAGAGGCTGCCCTTCAAGCCCACAGCGGAGGGCAATGGGCAGCAGCCTCCCGGAGGTTTATGGGCGATCCTGTCTGCACCTACATAACTAAATAAACGGTCGGGGCGGAGAAACTTGCTTATTTAATGTATATTATAACGAAAGTATTGAATATATATACAAATGAATTTTGTAATATCATAATCAAGAACAAATAAATTTTACAATTTGCCAGTTTTGAAGATGATATCTCGCTAATGACGACCCTTATTGTCAATACACCGTGTCAGTCATGTCCGAAAATTGGTGTCAACTTTTTCCAGCATCTCTTTAGGAATGTTGGCGACGATTTCACGAATGTTATTCTTAGAATAGTTCAGGTTGTTGGGTCTGTCATGGTTACACTACAAACTTCAGAATAAATATTCGCCTGTCCCTACAAAAATAATCGCAAGACGCAAGATCAGAAGACGCCACTGAATATTGCCCAATAAGTGATCACGTGCCCAGGAAAGACTTAGTTCAAGAAAACCATGGATGCTGTTGATGTATAGCGTGGAATTTCTGTAGTAGTGCTCACATGTACATAGTATTCCTTACTACATGTCGTTTATTCTACTATATGACTTCGCTCTAGAACCAATGACTATTATTAGAATTGGCTCGGCTCTTGTACGTTCAAGACCTAGAACTACTTTTCTACTTGTAAACATTTTGTAAAACTACAAAGCGCCACATATGTGTATGCCATTCACATATGAATACATTCCCTTCACGTTGTCGAGCTACCATTTTTAATGTAGTTTAATTATATTTCAGGATGTTACGTACCTGTTGAATAAAACTCTGAATGAGTCACTCCGGTCTTCGCTTACGACAATATAAGCGCAGTTGCATCGACTTGCTGATGCTCAGTGAAGGCAGCAGTTGTGGAGCAGCAGCAACATATCAGCAGCAGCAGATCAGCAGTAACAGATCAGCAGCAGATCAGCAGCAGATCAGCAGCAGATCAGCAGAGTGAGGGTAAACGGGTGAGGGTAAACGGGTGAGGGTAAACGGGTGAGGATAAACGGGTGAGGGTAAACGGGTGAGAGTAAACGGGTGAGGATAAATGGATGAGGATAAACGGGTGAGGGTAAACGGGTGAGGGAAGACGAGTGAGGGTAAACGGGTGAGGTAAAAAGGGTGAGGATAAACGGGTGAGGATAAACGGGTGAAGGGTAAACGGGTGAGGATGAACGGGTGAGGGTAAACGGGTGAGGGTAAACGGGTGAGGGTAAACGGGTGAGGGTAGACGGGTGAGGGTAAACGGGTGAGGGTAAACAGGTGAAGGAAAGTGAAGCAGGTGGAGCACATGGAACAGGTAGAGCAGGTGGAGCAGGTAGAGCAGGTGGAGCAGGTGGAGCAGGCGGGGCAGGTGGAGCAGGTGGAGCAGGTGGTGCAGGTGGAGCAGGTGGAGCAGATGGNACACATCTAGATGTGTATAAGAGACAGGTATCTCATTATTGTGTATCTCATTTTTTTATGTATCTCATTTTTATGTATCTCATTATTGTGTATCTCATTTTTATGTATCTCATTTTTATGTATCTCATTTTTATGTATCTCATTATTGTGTATCTCTCATTTCTCCGAACGGTAATTATTTCCAGTTCCCCCCACACAAATGAATAATTGGGTCAATGTTACCCCAAAAAGATATACCTGCGCAATCTGCTTTAACTGATATACCTGCGCAACCTGCTTTGAATTATATACCTGCGCAACCTTCTTTAAATTATATATCTGCGCAACCTGCTTTAGTTGATATACCTGCGCAACCTGCTTTAAATGATATACCTCCGCAACCTGCTTTAACTGATATACCTGCGCAACCTGCTTTAAATGATATACCTCCGCAACCTGCTTTAACTGATATACCTGCGTAACCTGCTTTAACTAAAATACCAGCGCAACCTGCTTTAAATTATATATCGAATATAACTGCTTTAAATTGTCTGTGTTTTATGTAAATGATCGTAAGACCAATTCATTCTTCCCAGTGAGTGAGGCAGGAAATGTTAAGAGGTGATTCATAAATATCGCAATTTCTATAGCAGTCAGTTTCATTTTAAATCAAAATAAACATTATACTTGTATGTTACATATAAAATAATTTTCCTGGTATTTAAATAATTGACTATATTTATTGCAATTAGGAGTCGAAATTTAGAGTTTAATAAAATCAATTGGAGGACATCGGTGCTCTGTAAATCCTACAGTCTCTGATCTCTGGTATTGTATTCATCGTATCGTTGACCCAGCAAGCACCATAACTCTATATCCCATGAAAATTTACAGACGCGGCAGCTTCTGATTTGGATTACCTGATGCTGGGGCGACTCTAAATTTCGTTAGAGTATATAGATTCAGGTGATGGCATTGAAGGAAGAACTGGTCACTCCAACAAGTGGTTCAAACATAAGAACTACGCATCCATTGTTAGCAGGGTTCAGATAATTGTGGAATTTTTCTCTCAAATTGAATTCAGCTGAAAATACTTTTCAGTGCAATCCCATTACAATTTTCCTAACCCTTTTTTACAATTTTCTCGATGCTTCGTGTGCCACCACTAATTTACAATGCCAAGTACCAGTATCCCGGCACGGTAGGTATTGCAGATACACGCTACAATGGTCCCTGTATATCGCGGAACAATAATAACACACACACTAACACTCTCACACACAAACACTCTAACGCTAAGACATACAGCGCATTGTAAATAGTTTTCGTAATCCAGTTCGGAGTAAAAGATTTGAAGTAAATTTATTTGAAGTATTTCGGCAAGTCGGAATTTCCCGTCCATTTGCTGAGAGTATAAAGTCCTTTTGTGTGGCAGAGCCGCGACAAAAGAGGGCTGTTTCAGGTGCATTAGGAGCATGCACTCCCACTCCACGCACTCCCACTCCACGTACTCTCACTCCACGCACTCCCACTCCAGGCACTCCCACTCAACGCACTCCCACTCCACGCACTCCCACTTTAAACACCCCATGCCATCCGTTCAAGTAATCCGCTTATTCATTCTCATTCTCACTGCATTTTACCTGATGCAACACAACACACTAATCATCCTTGTCATTCGTCTTCACTTCCATCCAATTATGTCATGGATCAGGTAGGTCTCTCCATTCGACTCCTATATCCTGCGACGTACCTGCCAATTTCACCAATCATTAATTACATTTTGATTTAAGAAACATTAATACAATATAAATATTAATACATTTTCTTGTTAATTAAGATTAATCTTCAGTGTCTAGGACGCCATAACCATTGTCTAACCCAATTAAAATTCAGAGCTGCGAATAGAGCAGGCCGACCACCTATACAGTAGAGCCGACGTGGAGACTTATGGCGGTTTAGCGGTTTCAGTATTTATTAGGCCGTAGGCCTATCGCCGATTCCTAACATTGTAGAACATCCACAGCATGTTGCGGACTTGAACTCGCAACTCACTGCTACAAATTTTATTTGCTTAATAAACCGCCCTGCCTCCTTGCCGATTTAGACCAGAAACTGGCGCACAGACTTGGGATCGAACCCGCGCCTCTCTGCGCCAATCTTGGTACTCAGAACTGTAACCACTGGGCCACCAATGTTGGGGCTAGTGAGGTCAAACTACCCAGTTATAATTTAAGCCAAGATCCGCTCCGATCTTAGCCGATACAACCGCCGGCGGACGGTAGCGATCTTAGCCGATCTCAGCCGATCTCAGCCGGCGGACGGTGCAATGAAAGAAAATCCGGCCAGTTATCTCTAGAACAACACTGCGCGATGTACGATGACTTTACTAGTGTTAATACAGCAGTGATGCAGGCAGCCAATGACTATGTAACCTTTTATTGTATGGGTAAAGTATCGATGATCTTGGCGAGAGAAGTGAGATAAATGTTAAATCGTCAACGACAAACGGTACAGCGCAACTGCAGCGCGCATTGCCAGGGTCGCCCTAGAGCAGGCGTTGAGCGGGTTACAGCCGGAGATGTTCGGTAAGGTCTGAACAGAGCCCGCCATGACAGATGTTTAGCAGCAAATTAACATTGCAACGGGAAGGGCGAAATCGTCTCCACTGCAGACACTTCTGCTCTATCGCACCTTTGTCAAGTGCATGGTGGCCCAGTGGGTACAGTTCAGAGCACCAAGATTGGAGCAGAGAGGCGCGGGTTCGATCCCAGCTCTGTGCGCCAGTTTCTGGTCAGAATCGGCGAGGAGGCCGGGCGGTTAAGCACAGCAGAATTGTAGCAGTGAGTTGCGAGTTTGAGAACGCAACAAGCTGTGAATGTTGTGCAATGTTAGGAATCGGCTACAGGCCTACGGCCTAGTAAACGCTGAAATCACCACTATGTTAACCTAGTCGTAATAACTAGTGTTCATTAAATGACTATGTATGGATTCGGTGGAGTTCTTACAGTCCATATTCCCTTATAAAAATCTTGTTGAAGCTAGTGTCCAATGTTATTGTTCTATTTTTCGACCTATTAAGACCAATTTATATATTTTTATCACATTCATCTACGTTTCTATTCCATTCATTCAATTTCTATACCTATCATCAGCATTTACATCATATTTATCCGATGCCTTTGCCACACAGCTCATCCCTTTTGACATCCTTTCATCCCCATTACAGTTCCTCATTCCCATTCCCATTTGCCGCTCCTCTCATCCCTATTGACATCCTTTCATCCCCATAACAGTCCCTCATTCCCATTCCCAGTTGCCGCTCCTCTCATCCCTATTGACATCCTTTCATCCCCATTACAGTCCCTCATTCCCATTCCCAGTCGCCATTCCCAGTGGTCACGGCAGAGGCGGCGCCGACACTGCAATTCAATAGCGGCCGTTAGACGCGCGCGGCAAAAAGCTGCGCCGCTGATGCCATGTTTACCAGGAATTTTTTTCTTAGGCTCGACGGAATTTCCTGTTTTTTTTTATTATACTAAGAACAAGAATTTTTTCTTTCCGGGTCTCTAGGCAGCTTGGGGAATGACAGGATAATGGCGGCAAATTCGTGATACGACAGTACTTGTTTTTGTGGGGTCACGATACTCGATCGGGCTTTGTTCTTACTCTTTTATGGGTTATTGTTTGTTATTGTATGGTAAGATGCTCTAGTTTATGGTGTGGTTATAAGGAAATCTATTATATAGGTAAATATGACATATTCATATTTATTATATTATTTCTTTTAGATATAATTAGGAAAAAAATGAGGCTAGAGAAAAGTGAGTGTTTGTAAATGTGAGAAACAAAGTTGAAATTAAATGACGAGATGTAAGAAAGTGAACATGTAATCACGAACTATCAATCGTATTAACTATACATAAATGTTTACAATAAAAATTTTTACAATGAAGGAGCCAATTATCGGTGACACGTTGAACTGCTGCTCTGTGTGAGACCACTCCATTCACTCCTCTTCACTCCCCTCACTTCTCTTCACTCCCTCACTTCTCTTCACTCCCTCACTTCTCTTCACTCCCTCACTTCTCTCCGCTCCCCTCACTTCTCTCCACTCCCCTCACTTCTCTTTACTCCCCTCACTTCTCTTCACTCCCCTCACTTCTCTTCACTCCCCTCACTTCTCTTCACTCTCCTCACTTCTCTTCACTCCCCTCACTTCTCTTCACTCCCCTCACTTCTCTTCACTCCCCTCACTTCTCTTCACTCNGTGTAATATACATGCGTATCAACACAGCACTGAGAGGCGGCAGCTGTGTAATATACATGCGTATCAACACAGCACTGAGAGGCGGCAGCTGTGTAATATACATGCGTATCAACACAGCACTGAGAGGCGGCAGCTGTGTAATATACATGCGTATCAACACAGCACTGAGAGGCGGCAGCTGTGTAATATACATGCGTATCAACACAGCACTGAGAGGCGGCAGCTGTGTAATATACATGCGTATCAACACAGCACTGAGAGGCGGCAGCTGTGTAATATACATGCGTATCAACACAGCACTGAGAGGCGGCAGCTGTGTAATATACATGCGTATCAACACAGCACTGAGAGGCGGCAGCTGTGTAATATACATGCGTATCAACACAGCACTGAGAGGCGGCAGCTGTGTAATATACATGCGTATCAACACAGCACTGAGAGGCGGCAGCTGTGTAATATACATGCGTATCAACACAGCACTGAGAGGTGGTAGCTGTGTAATATACATGCGTATCAACACAGCACTGAGCTGTCTCTTATACACATCTAGATGTGTATAAGAGACAGCCTCACCTCCCCTCACCTTCCCTCACCTCCCCTCACCTCTTGCACGAAAAGTGCTCCATACCCATTCCATCTTTTTTCTGCCTTCACAGCTATTGCCTCGATGTGCTTAAACGTAGCTTCAGTACTCATCAATACTTCGAGAACGCGAACAAGTTGCTTCTCTGTGATTTTTGTATCGTCCGATGCCGAGTAGCGGTGTAGCATCCCGACCTCTGTGCCAGATCATTTCTCATTACTTCGAACTTGTGGCCGTTGAATTGCATATTATTCATTAACGCTCAATCTTGTATTTTGAACATATCTATGTAAAAAAGCACTTGATTTTGTACATATGTCGACCCAAATTCCATCACTCAATGCGCCATTTAAATTGATAATGGATGATAGAAACATTTGAAACGTCGTAGAAGAAATAAAAATGTCCATCGGTACTCTATTTTCGATTTACCAGTCTGTGAGATTGTTATCTCAAGGTTCAATAAACAAAAGATCTTTACAAGTCTAATTATCTTAACTAATAAGAAGAGTGGCGCATAAGAGTTATCTGAGAGCAATAATGAGAGTAGCGACGTAATGAGAGGAGTCGTGAGAGGAGAAGGACTCCGCTGTGCCCTAGAGGACGGACAACAATACTTACAATTAACACCAATGAATAAATAATCTGACTATATTAGCACGATATAACCTTCACAAATAACAAATATAGAATGCAATAGTTAACCTCGTCCAACTCATACCTTAGAGTCGTGCTCTGCAGCCTAAGTAGCTCAGACCACCTCGCAGGGACATACAGGACGAAGTGCTTCTAATTCTATGACTAGGCTTAAAGAAAGGTTGCATGCCTCTCAGTAGTACGGAATGGGCTTACAATACTACACAGTCCAAACGAAAATTGTTGTTCGATCTATTGAAAAAGAAAAACTAATAAAAAATTTGTCAATAAAACGAATTCGCTGGTCTTCAATGAAACCTGCTTAAAGCTCAATCGTAGATTATCAAAAAGTCATCCTGTAGTCATCCCATTTCCACCTGAGAGCTCCTAGAGAATTTTGATTTCATATTTCCTATCTTGCGTCGCGGGGGTTACTTAACCCAAAGTCAACAATGGCATCACCAGCATAAGAAAAAACTGCATCACCAGCATAACAAAAACTGCATCACCAGCATAAGAAAAAACTGCATCACCAGCATAACAAAAACTGCATCACCAGCATAACAAAAACTGCATCACCAGCATAACAAAAACTGCATCACCAGCATAACAAAAACTGCATCACCAGCATAACAAAAAACTGCATCACCAGCATAAGAAAAAACTGCATCACCAGCATAACAAAAAANCAGAGTGGTGATTATAATACCAGAGCAAAGATAATAATACCAGAGTGGCCATTATAATACCAGAGTGGTGATTATAATACCAGAGCAAAGATAATAATACCAGAGTGGTGATTATAATACCAGAGCAAAGATAATAATACCAGAGTGGCCATTATAATACCAGAGTGGTGATTATAATACCAGAGCAAAGATAATAATACCAGAGTGGTGATTATAATACCAGAGCAAAGATAATAATACCAGAGTGGCCATTATAATACCAGAGTGGTGATTATAATACCAGAGCAAAGATAATAATACCAGAGTGGTGATTATAATACCAGAGCAAAGATAATAATACCAGAGTGGCCATTATAATACCAGAGTGGTGATTATAATACCAGAGCAAAGATAATAATACCAGAGTGGTGATT